ATACGACATCTCAAACAATTTCGGTGAGTATTGTACCTAAACTCGTCAAAATACCGAATACAGGGAGGTACTGGTATAAGGGGCCTATACGAAGACCTGGAACTGCATAGACAATTTTCTGTCACAGACTGTAGTTCCCATTACGAACTCTAAATACGTAAATTGAAACAATTCCGGTGAATAATGACGCTAAAATCACCATAATACCGAATATAGGGAGGTACTGTTATATGGGGGCTATATGAAGACGTGAACCTGCACAGACAATTTTCTGTCACCGACTGTAGTATCTATTACGAATTTCAAATACCAAATTTGAAACAATTCCGGTGAATAATGTCGTTAAAATCATCAAAATACCGAATATCAGGAGGTACCGTTATATGGGGGCTATACGAAGACGTGGACCTGCACAGACAATTTTCTGTCACCGACTGTAGTATCCATTACGAATTTTAAATACCAAAATTTAAACAATTCCGGTAAATAATGTCGCCTCAGCCTCAAAATACCGCATATTGGGAGGTACCGTTAAATGGGGGCTATACGAAGACGTGGATCTACCATTTTCAATACCAAAAGTCCTGCAGATATAATACACATTTGAGTAAAATTTTATTAACCTACTTCATTTCGTTCGGAAGCTAGAGTGATTTCCACAGACGGACGAACATTGCTAAATCGACATTGAATTTTAGGCTGATCAAGAATATATATGCTTTGTGGGGTCGGAAATTTATATTTAGAGGTTTTACAAACGGAATGACAAACTTAATATACCCTCCATACTATGGTGGAGGGTATAATAAAATAAGATAACTAACCCATTTAATGGAGATTTCCATTTTTAAACCCTCCACCATACATAGTATGGAGGGTAAATTAAGTTCGTCATTCCGTTTGTAACTCATCGAAATAATCATTTTAGACCCAACAAAGTATATATATTCTTGATCAGCGGAAAATTCTAAGACGATTTCGTCCGTCTGTTGTTATCACGCTACAGTCTAAACGAATTAAGATAGGAAGCTATTTTTGACGATTTTACCCACATTTTCCAACGGAATTGTCTGAAAATCCACACAAGGAGTTCCACGTGAGTGCTTTACCCCCAGACATAAATCTGTCTATATAGCTCCACAATATCGTATATTCCCCATATATCAGCACCTTCCGATATTAGGTATTTTAAAGATTTTAACAGAATTTTCAATGAATTTTATTTTTTTGAAAATGTTCTAATTCGTTCAAAATGGTAGAGGGTATTCAAAATTCGGCCCGGCTGAACTTACTGCTTTTTTACTTGTTATAGGTACATTTTTAGATTTTGAAAATAATTGAAAAATAATCGGCCCATACAACTGATAAAGGAAGACCAATGCGATGATTTGGTCGGCTCCATATTATTCAAGTCTTGGCCACATAAACCACATCTTATTTAACCAAATAAATATTACCCCTACATCTTCTCATTCTTTAGCTACAATTTAAGTTTAATTTACATGGCCACACACACACCCAACAGCAATCAAATTAAAATTAAGAAATACAAAATTCTTTCAATTTGTTTTGAGCACCACAGAGTTAACCCAATTACAAAACAAGTTGTTGCCACTGAAGAATACAAATTAAACAATTTATTAGACTTAAAAGCATTTTAAATCATTTCTTGGTTTTTGGGTGAGCTTATAGGAAAAGATGGAAACAAAAAAGAAAAAGAAGGCAATGCCATTCATTATAAAAAGAATAAAGAAATTTATAAAACGAAATTCTTTAGCACTTCATGGTGTTGGTTGGTGTTTTTTTTGTTGTGATTTTTCTTACTTGATTTCTCGACAACTGTAATACTAGCTGAGTAGAAAACAAGGAAGTAAAAAATTAAAAAAAAAAAAATGCAAGAAAAAAGAAAAATATAGTAAAACTATAGATAACAACAGCAGTTCCAGCTCCAGTAGCAACACCACCAGCACCAGTAGTAGTAGTGTCTATGGTCAAAAAAACTGGAGTGCCACTAAATCATAGTTCTTTGAGGGTGTAACAGGCAACGAAAAAAAGCTACTCTCCCAAAAATTATGAAATATTTCATTCTTTAGTTATTTTTCGGTTGCTTCTCGCTTTTTTGTCTTTGGGTATCTCTATTTTTCTGCTTAGTTATTTTTATTTCTCTGGGACTTTTTGTTGTTCCTTCCATTTGAGCCGTTAAAAATGTATTTAATCATTTTTTAATATTTCTCTGTTTTGTTTTGATATTGTTTGGCTGTTATACGCTTGTTCATCGCATGGAAATGGCCATTCAATTTTTACTGAGAGCAAAAGCAATGGACAAAAGCTAACTTTATCTTGTTGTGTAGTATTTTTTTATTTTTATTTTTTTTTTTTTTTGGAAATAGAAACAGTGATGTCAATTTAGAGATTTAAAGCAGAAGTTATGTTTAAATTATGTCAACATGAAATCTGGGGTTCGCTGTGTAGTCCATTTGTCGGCTATACGAAAATTGATAAAAATTTTGATTTAGGCTTAATTTGGCATGAAAAATGAACACTTATAAAATTTTCTAAGAGGGTCGAGAAGCACGCTCAACGCCCTACTTAGGTCGAAAATCAATGCTTTTCTCTTCGATTTTCTTAATTGAAGGATCTAATTCATAGTTCAGTACATCAGTTCCTAAACGTATGATTGATTTCATATATTTAATATCACTCATACACAGATTTTTCATACAAAAGACCGGAGTCGTTCGATCGAATCGGATTGGCACAACTCTAGTTTTAGCCCATCCTAAAATTTAACCAAAACATCATTCGATTAATAGGACCAATTATTCGTCTGAGGGTATTTGAAGAACAATATCTGGCTTTTGAACCCTTATAAAGCTATTGCTCACATATCTTTGCTTGTACTCGACATTTTGGCAAATAAAATTCATTAGCACTACAAAAGGGTCAAAATTTTGAATATCCATGAACCTCATAAAACGTTAAATTAACATCTGATTCCATTCAAACTTAATACATCTGAATATTTCCATCAACACAAGATCTGTTATAAAGATGGTGGATGATCGGACCATTTCTTCTGGTACCTCCCCTACAGAGAGTATACAAAGACCAGTAATCGTGGATTTCTTATACAATTCTTTTAAATGACTCATGGACAAATATTCGATCACAAATATATCAATAGTCGACTACTTTTCAAATAATTTTTTAAATATCGTAGATTTTTTAAAGAATTTTATAAATGGCCCCTGGACCAATAATAATGAATTTTTGAAAGGATTTTGCCCAACAACCAATGTTTAGTCTTTCACGGATTCATGGTTCATGGATTTTTAAAGGACTAATCGTGGAATTTCCAGGATTTTTCGAAACTAACAATTGTGGATTTTTTAAAGAATTTTTAAAAGGTCGCATGGGAACAATATTCTTGGATTTTTTCAAGATACTTTTGAAGGACCCATAGATCAATAATCGTAGATTTTTTAAAGGACCCATAGACCAATAATCTTGGATTTTTTTAAGAATTTGTGAAAGGACCCATAGGACCAATAATCATTGATTTTTTAAAGAATTTTTGAAAGGACTCATAGGTCCAATAATCTTGGATTTTTTTAAAGAATTTTTAAAAGGACCCATAGGACCAATAGTCGTGGATTTTTTTACTGACCCATAGATTAATTATCGTGGATTTTTAAAGAATTTTTGAAAGGACCCATAGGACTAATAATCGTGGATTTTTTAAAGAATTTTTGAAAGGACCCATGAACCAGTAATCGTAGATTTTTTGAATGACCCATTTACCAATAATCGTGGATATTTTAAAGAATTTTTGAAAGGACCCATAGGACCAATAATCGTGGATTTTTTAAAGAATTTTTAAAAGGACCCATAGGACCAATAAACTTTAACTTTTTAAAGAATTTTTGAAAGGACCTATAGGACCAATAATAGTAGATTTTTTAAAGGATTTTGTCCAAGAACCAATAATTGTGGATTTATCAAAGAATTTTTGAAAGGACCCATAGGACCAATAGAATAAATCCTTCTATAAATATAAATTGGAATTGTTTTAAAGGACTTCAAGCCTAAAACTCGTGGATTTTGTAAGAACATTTTAAATATTACCTGAAAGAAAATCGATATTGCTCAATCACATCTCCCGTTGATTTGTATTAGTAATATATCTACAAAAACTTCCTGGCCAATAATGGTAAATTTTTATATATATTCACTGCTTCTGTAATTTATAAATTACACAAATCACATACATAAATTGGACCGAGGGTATATATCTGTAGGCAATCAAGTCGATTCCTTCCATTTTTTTATTTCATTAACGAGTTCTTAATCCATTTGATTTTACTCCTTTTATTTCAAAGAATAATTAACATCACTGTTTCATTCTGTTGACCGAAAACATTTTGAACAGCAGATAGTTTATCATTTTACTTGGTATTTACTAAAACATTCACACTCAGTTTTTCTTTCTGTTCCAGATTTTTGCATTCTCTCATTTAAAAATTATAGACTACTATTTCTTTTTTTTCTTAAGAATTATTGTTGTCACAATTTTTTAGAAAGCAAGATTCATATGAGTGACCATATTTAGTCATATTTTCTCCGCAGAGATAAAAACCAAAAATAATGGTTCTCCTTGGCGTATGAATTATGTGAACTGGTTAAAATAAATGCACGTATCACTCATACGCGCTATGGGTCAATAAAATGAAAGAGAAAAATTAAATCTATCATTTCAAAAAAAAAAAAAAAAAAAAAATATATATAAATAAATAAATAAAATAAAAAAATAAATAAATAAATAAGGTCATGTTTTTGTATAACAGTAAAAAAGTGAATACGATAGAAAAACACATATTCCATCTGTTTACTATTTTTTATTTAAAAAAAATCTTTGGTATTCACTTTTAAATCGTCATACAAAAACGGGTCTTTAATATAATATATAATAACACAATTTTTACATGAGAAAAACAACTTACCTATATTCATGTGACAAGAAGAAGGTACCACGAATGTTACAGCCATTGGGATTCTTACGTTTGCCATTGAAGATCTTCAAGTAATGGTCATAGTTGTTCAAGTTGACAGCACCATCGAATGTCAGCATGATCATTTGGGGAACCTGCAAAAAATTATGGAAGGAAATATTAAATACAGATAATTTTCGGTTCTGCAATGAAAAAACAAACAGCACCAATAGACAACCAAAATAAATCTTTATTTCATACGGTCAAAAAAGCACGAATTACAAAAAAGTAATAAATCTTTTTTTGGAACAATAATTTTATAAATTTCAAAAAAAAAATAAAATATTCTAAACAAATGATTTTTGGAGTAATCTAAAGCTCCCTCTAAATAAACAAATCTATGTATCAAATCTTGCGTAAAATATCTCAAAATATTGAGTACCTTAAAAAAGTTTGGCTTAAGAAGTCTTTTGAAACCCCATACTGTCTACTGTGCAGTGAAATTATAAGAAAAAAAAATAATTTTTAAAAAATTCACATTTATTAATTCATAGAAAAAAACTATTAAAAAAATGCTCCTTTATTAATTCATAAAAAAATAATTTAAAAAAAATCACGTTTATTAATTCATAGAAAAAGATAATTTAAAAAATATCCACATCTTCTAAGGAATTCCAAAAATAATTTTATAAAGTCCACGTTTTTAATGAATTCAAAAATAATTTTATAAAGTCCACGTTTTTAATGAATTCAAAAATAATTTTTAAAAAATCCAAGTCTATTCAGGACTTCAAAAATAATTTTTAAAAAATCCACGATTATTAAGGACTTCAAAAAATCCATGTTTATTAAGGACTTCAAAAAATAATTTTTAAAAAATCTGTGATTATTAAGCATTTCAAAAAATAATTTTTAAAAAATTCACGTTTATTAAGGACTTCAAAGAAAAATTTTAAAATATCCACGATTATTAAGGACTTCAAAAAATTATTTTTAAAAAATCCACGTTTATTAAGAACGTCAAAAAATAATTTTTTAAAAAATCCACAATTATTAAGGACTTCAAAAAATATTTTTTAAAAAATCCACGTCTATCAAATATTTAAAAAAATAATTTTTGAAACATCCAAATTTATTAATTGGTTGAAAAAAAATAATTTTAAAAAAATCCACGTTTATTAAGGACTTCCAAAATTTTTTTGAGGTTTTAAATATTTTTGACCTAAAAGTTAGTCGCCTTCGTCTGCCACAGATTTTCCGTGATCGTCTTTTCCTATTCAATATTGTATATTTTCCCTCATTCATCTAATTTCAATGCACATTTTCCTTTGTGTTTTTTCATTTTTCAATAAAAATTTTGCCATAATTTCCAGATCATTTGCTAAGACCACAATAACCAATAAAATGCCATTACTGCTCCATTACGTTTTCTTCGGTTATGAGATTTATTTAATAGACTTATAAATATTTAATTTGCTTTCTCAAGCTTTCTCAAGCTCTCTCTCTCTCTCTCTCTCTCTCTTTATCTCTCTTCTCTTTATTACGGACCTCGAAAACCACCATTGTCCATTCAGTTCAGGCAGCAACAACAAAACATAAATAGCTTTATTGACACAAAATGACGTCCTTTCAAGGAATTCTTGCAATTTTTGTCACTTTTTCCTTCACTTCACTTTAAGTAAAAAGCAAATCTAATCAAAAGAAAGGCAGCAAAGAAAGAAAGCATCTTGTAAAAATTCTTTTTTTCCACCAGATAGCATAAAACGTTTTCTTTGCAACAACAAATGAAAGAAAAAAACACAAGGGAAAAATCATCATTTCCATTCTATGGCTTGGGCGAAAAAAATCTCCAAAGAAAAGAAATAATAAACCGGAAAAAATATTTACATTTCTAGTCGACAAATAAGGGAAATATTTTCACTGTAACATTCAGGGGATGGCACGGCCGAAAGAGAGGGAGTGAAGAGGGAGTTAGGGGAAAAATGCACAAAAAAGCGAAATTGGAATGCAAAGTTCAAGTGGCGATGAAGGTGGCCGTTGTGATGACGATGAAGAAAAGTGGACCTCAAGTAATACGCGAAATGATACTTTCCATAAATAAATTGGGCCGAGTAGTGGTGGAGTAGCAACAGCAGCAGCTGCTGCTCACCAAGCATTTGCATTCACAGTCACTGCATTTAGCATAGAAGCAGCAAAAACAACAACAACAAAACCAACTTGCCCACCAACCTTGCTTAGGTGAAGTACGGCAACCAACAGAGGAGGGAGATTGGTAGCGGTGAAAGTGGTACTATTTATGTTGGCATTTGCCTCATAGCCTTATTTCTTTCGGATTTTTGTGCCATTTTTAGGATTATTTGTTGGGGGCAGGGGAGGGCTTCTAACCCCCTTCTACCCCTCTTTTACCCTTTACCATAAAAATAACTGCAATATCTTGGTTTATGTTTCAAATGGTTTGTTTTATGATTTTTTAGTTTATTTTCTCTCTCTCTCTCTCTCTCTCTCTCTCTCTCTTCCAGCTGTGGCCTTAAATCACATCCGACTAAGTCCTGGGAAAATATTTAGAATCCTGGTGAATATAATTTCGTATTTTTTTCCAGTCTTCGTAGATATTTTGACACTTGCCATGGATTTTTGAATAACATTCGATGTTATTGAACTGAGAGCAACTATTGAAGTGCATGAATAATAAGTATTGACAAATGGGGAGGGGAGGGGGTTAATAGTTGAATGAATGACTGAATGCCAGGATAAATGGATTGATGGTGTTCCATGGTTTGTAGTTGCTGTTTGTTGTTGCTTGAATTGCCGGATAGTGGACAGTCGATTGTTTGTTATGAATAGACGGATATTTAGTTGAATGGAGATTCGGAAATCGTCTTTTGTTTGTGAAATATTTTTTGGGGTTCCTTTTGTATTTGTTTAATTGTGTTCCATATTGAGGCCAATGGTGGGGAATAATGGGCCAGGGTTTGGGAAGGTGTGCAAAACCATCAAGGAAAGCATTAGGAAATTAATAGAATACTACAAAATAAAAATGTATGTATTTAGGAGGTGGATGTTAAAAACTACAGAATAGAGGTTTTTTTTAGGAAAATCGTTCTAAAACGGTGATTTACATTGAATTTTAAAAATTGGGAATGTTGGTGCATGACATAATATGGGAATTTTTATAAATAAACAAGTAAAAAAGCAATAAGTTCGGCCGGGCCGAACTTTTAATACCCTCCACCATATGGTACAAATTTGCCAATTTCCAAAAAAAAAATCCGTTAAAAATTCTGTTAAAATCTTAAAAATACCGAATGCTTATACGACGATGTGGACCTGCATAGGCAACTTTTGTCATAAGTTATTACAATATTTAAATGCGAAACTTGAAGAAAAATCTGTTTATAATGTAGCTAAAATCATCAAAATACCGAATATAGGGGGTACCGTCATATGGGGGCTATACGAAGACCTGGACCTGCACAGACAATTTTCTGGCATGGGCTGAAGTATCTATTACGAACTTCAAATACCAAATTTGGAACGATTCAGTTAAATAATGTCGCTAAAATCATCAAAATACCGAATATCGGGGGGTACGGTATATGGGGGCTATATGAAGACGTGGACCTACATGGCCCATATTCTGTTTTATGATGCAGTATCTATTACAAGCTTCAAATACCAAATTTGGAAAGATTCCGTTAAATAATGCCGCTTAAATCATCAAAATACCGAACATCGGGGGGTACCGTTATGTGGGGGCTATATGAAGACGTGGACCTGCACAGATAATTTTCTGCCTTAGGCTGTAGTATTTATTACGAACTTGAAATGCTAAATTTGAAACAATCCCGGTGAATAATGTCGTTAAAATCATCAAAATACCGAATATCGGGAGGTACCCTTATATGGGGGCTATATGATAACTTGGCCCTACATGGCCCATTTACGAACTTAACCTGCCTACTGGCAAAATACACATATGTGCAAAATTTTAGCCTTTTATCTTAATTTGTTCGAAAGATAGCGTGATTTCAACAGACAAACAGACAGACGGACATGGCTAAATCGAGGAGTTACAAACGGAATCACAAAATTAATATACCCTCCATAGTATGGTGGAGGGTATAAAAATAGGTAATATGTAGGATCTGCAAAATAAATGTTTTGTTTTTTTGTTTTAAGTCGAGTGTAGCTGCGCCTGTATAGCATGTACAGCCGCCCTGTTGAAAACGTTGTAAATATTTTCCTCTTCAATTTATGTGAATAAAACTCCGTTCATCATGATCCGAAAAAAAAAAACGGCCACTCCTTCTACTTTTTCGAAGAAAAATGGACAAATTATGCCTATGAACCAAAACCAGCAAAAAAAAATTGGTTCCTAACTGATGGGGGAAAGTTCCCCCTTTTACACATTTTTTTAAATATTCGGATTAAGATTCCTTTTAATCGGTGCATTTTCGGGAAAATAGTGTCCTGGGAAATATCTCGGACTTAATTCTACAGATTATTTTGGTCGATAAATTTAATCTTCAAGCGACACAACAAAAAAGTTGTTGCTGCTTTTTATCATAATATGTTTAAAAACTCCTTTTCAACCGGATCGTAGCAAGTCAAAATATGAAAGTTGGAGATGGTTTGGGAAATAGGTACTAAATGGTACTTAATTTGGTATTTTTGGTAAGTCTAAAATTTTGGCATTCGAATCGCCATTTGTGCGGTTTGGATTTGAATTTAGAAAAATGTACTTAAAAGTACGAAAAGTACTAATAGTATTAACTTTGGTATTTGGGGAAGGAATAGAGCTGGAAATCTGAAATTTGAAGTGAGAGTCGTCGATGCTATGCAGGATCGGCAAATTCTAAGAATTCGTGCACCAAAATTGCTAAAAATTCACTAAATTTTGTACCATTTGGAATTATAAGAACGGATAGAGGTAAAATCTTGCGATTTGGTATGAGAATCAATTCTTGGAAATGGGGTTAATGTAAGGCGAAGGTTTTAAGAAGACGTACTAAGTATAAGAACTTTAATAAATGGTACTAAATTTGATGGCAGGAAATGTTGGTATTGGGGTCCCTATAGGTTTGTGATGAAGAGGTGGGTTTGGAAATGTATACTACAAACGGACGAAAAGTACTAAATAGGTACTGCATTAGGT